TCTGTGCCTCTGCTGCTTTATCCATAAAATGGGTGGAATACTGACAGCTGGGTGTGCGTATTAATTGGGTTGACACCTGCAAACAGCTCAGAGCAGAGAGTGGAGCGTGCTGCAAGCTTTCACAAAGCTTTTACGAGGATTGGTTTCTGGGTTCAGAGAGTTGCTATTTGTAGGGTATCCCATCGGAATTCTCCCAATATTAGCACTGCACTTCTGTGTCTCTGAAGGAACGTGAATGTGCACACTGGCTGGTGCACTCATAGTTTCAAGTGCAAAGCATCCCATAGTGTTTCCCGATGGAGGGACGTGGGCCACTGATAATGTATTAGTCTGTTTTCACGCTGCTGATAAAGACATACCCGAGACTGGGTGATTTATAAAGAAAAAGGGATTTAATGGGCTCATAGTTCCACGTGGCTGGGGACCTCACAATCATGGTGGAAGGCGAAAGGCACGTCTTACATGATGGCAGACGAGGAGATGAGAACCAAGCAAAAGGGGAAACCCTTTGTAAAACCGTCAGGTCTCATGAGACTTATTCACTACCAGGAGAACAGTATGGGGGCAAACCACCGCCATGATTCAGTGAGCTCCCACCAGGTCCCTCCCACAACATGTGGGAATTGTGGGAGCTACAATTCAAGATGAGATTTGGATGGGGACACAGCCACACCCTATCAGATAAACAACATAGTTAAAGGATTACTGTGATTTGGGGTGGTTCAGGGACTGATTCAACGGCTAGAGCTTGTCTCCTTTTCAGCTGTCGCAGCCTCCAGTTACCTCCAGCAGAAAGTCTCAGATGGTGCTAATGTGCTTTGACTCCTTTCAACACCTGCTAATCTCACTGCAAAAGAGAGAGTGAGCACGAGGGCACGCGAAGCCTGGGAAGCTATTTGAATCAAGTTCCACTGGTTCAGCTTTCTTTGACTTTTATTTGTACAATTAGCTCTACAGGGAAGCGATGTCCACTTTCCATGTATCTTTGGATAGGAAGTTTTCTTTTCCCAAAACATGTGTTTGTGTTTTTATTTTGAAATGAGGGCATTTAAAGAAGCACGTTAAGCAAATAATCACTGAAGGGGTCTGCAGATTCAGCAGAAATCAGGGCCGTGGTCTTTGAATGGAAAGAGTTGGGAAATCCGAGTTTCGTGATGAGAAGCCCACACTGAACGGTGAGGGAGGGCAGAATTCTCATCCCATCCCTGCCATCTCACTGGGTGGCCTTAGGACAGTCATGAAGCCTCAGTTTTCTCTGGAGCTAGTAATAGTACTTGCAGGAGGGAGCCTTGGTGGAGGTTGAAGGAGATACCACAGAGTGCCCAAAGCAGGACAACTGCAGTGGTAGGATCAATCTAATAATGGTTTATACTGTGGATTATGTATTCCAGTCAGTACCATGGCCAGGCTCTAGTCCCAGCACACTATATCAACACATTTAATCCTGCACACCCATTTCATAGATGAGAAAACTGAGGCACAAAGGTGCTAAGTTACTAGCTCAGGGTCTTTCAGCAAGTAACTCCAAAGTCCATGTCCTTAACTCTGACACCACGTGGCACAAAGCAGGTGCCCAGCAAACAGTCACCGCAGTGGCTCTGGCTGTCATGAGGTGTATGTTTCTGCAGATGAGAGATTGAGAAGGAAGCTGTTGTTCGCCCTCTGGTCCCATGAAACTCACAGTTCTCATGTCAGACAACTGCACTGAGTGTGTCCCCAGTTCCCCTGAAATTGTGACTCTCTCTCAGAGCCACTTAGGAAGGCGGCTTTGAGCGGAGCCCGCTCCCTGCTTCCAGGGGAGGTGCTAGGAGGGAGACATGCTATCCTGGCCAGCCTGACACAGGATACAGGTCCCTGAATGAAGTAAATTAGGATGCGCATCGGGGCAGCTGGGAGAGTTGATTGAAAGCACTATTTTCAGAGGCAGGTGGGCAAAGGGAGCAAAGAGATGATGCTGCACCCAGGAACTGGTAGCAAAAGGAGCCCTTACTTTCCCTAGACTTGATGGGGCAAGAGGAGGGAGAGGTGAACTCAGAACTGGGGAGACACTAGAGCCAGGAGGTGTCCCCAGCAGGAGCCGCATCCACACGCAGAGACACGAAGGCTACTGCCTGGGGAGCTACTGCGTGCGGGAGGGAGAATAAATGCACTGACTTCCTACACCTCCCATGCTGCAGCCTCCCAGCCGGAAGCCGGAGAGCAGGGATGTGCCAACTGCACCATTTATAGAGCTCAGCCTCCCAGGGTCCCAAGCAGAGCTGAGGGAGAAATGGAGCAGGAGGGACCCTTGCTGGAATTTTTCAACCATAGCACTGCCCAGAGAACACAGTGGCCAGCTCCTTGTTGGTGTCCATAGAGGGTGGCTGGGGCAAGGCATCACTGATGGACACCTCTGAGCCATGTAGACCCAAGGTATGGTGTGGCCCTGCCAAGTCCAGCTTCCCTCACTCCGCAGAACTCAAAGGACCTTAACAGAACCTCCATTCCTTTATTTACCTAAGTATTTGTTTGTGCCAAGGCCTGGAGACAGCCGTGAATAATATAAGCCTGTCTCTGTCCTCAGGGAGCTGACCCCCTAGTGGGGAAGAATTGGACAATGAATAAGAAATTGCAGGCCGTAGTAGTGATTACAAGAGAAATAAAACCGGTTATAAAATGCAGAGTACCTGGGTTGGGGGCCCCACTTTAAATGGGGTGGTCAGGGCAGGCCTCTCTGAGGTGATGACGTTTGCTCTTTTGACAGAAAGAGCCAGGAGTACAAAGCAGGAGCTTTTGTTGTTGTTGTTGTTGTTGTTTTCGAGACAGAGTCTCACTCCGTCACCCAGGCTGGAGTGCAATGACATGATCTCGGCTCACTGCAACCTCCATCTCCCAGGTTCAAACGATTCTCCTGCCTCAGCCTCCTAAGTAGGTGGGATTACGGGGGTGTGCCACCATGCCCAGCTAATTTGTGTATTTTTAGTAGAGATGGGGTTTCACCACATTGGTCAGGCTGGTCTTAAACTCCTGACCTCAGGTGATCCACCCGCCTCGGCCTCCCAAAGTGCTGGAATTACAGGCGTGAGCCACCGCGCCCAGCTGCAGGAGTTATTTTTTAAAAGAGCAGGTGCAAAGACCCTGGGGCAGAGAGCAGCTTGATTTGTCCATTCAGCAGAAAGAAGCCAGTGGGGCTAGAAAGGAGAGGTTGGGGAGAAGTGGGCAGGGGCCAGAGCTCACAGGCCCAGGCAGCCCTGGCGAGAAGTTTGCATTTTATCCTGTGAGCCATGAGCAGCCAGGGAAGGTGCGACAGGTGAGCACAGGACTGGCACTAAGGCGAGGTGAGTGCCTGGCACTTGTACAGCCTGGGAGTGAGCACCCCCTTCAGTCTCCACCTGCACGAGGCACGGTGCCCTCCCCTGCCCAGTGCTGGGATCTGATCTGTGTTTTAGGAAGATGCCTCCGGCTGCCCTGGGAAGAATGGAGGATAGGGGCAGGGAAGAGGGAGGCGGGAGACCCTTCAGGCCGCCTTGCAGTCCCCAGGAGAGGTGAAGCAGGCAGCACATCCCCCTGCCGAAACCGGAGCCCTTTCTGAGCCTCTGAGTCATCACTTTGAGCTGATGGCCGGGGTACCTCCACGGAGGGCAAGGACAAACAGAAAGGTCACAGCGACACAGCTGCCCCCATGGCGTTTGGCTTCCTCCCGGCGCATCTGCAGGCTGTGGCTGTCTCACTTGCACTCTCGTTTTAAATAAATGATACCAGAAGTCTATATCTGGATAGGACTTGAAGGCTCATTTCCTCAAGAAGTGAAAAAATGACCGCAGAGAGCAAAGAGCAGGGCGAGATTAGAGACCTGCTCGAGCCAGAGTCGCGTCCCCACCTCCCTGCACCCACCTTTGCTGGTGACCTAGTCTGACCTGGGGCTGGGGGGACTGAAGGCACAGTGGCCCGTGGCAGGTCGTCCCCCTCCATGTGTTAGTGCTCAATTTTCTCTGTTGTCATTTCATTTATTCTGCAACTTAGGCTGGGCACAGTGGCTCCCACCTATAACCCCAGCACTTTGAGAAGCCAAGACGGGGATCACCTGAGTTCAGGAGTTCAAGACCAGCCTGGCCAACATGGTGAAATCCCATCTCTACTAAAACTACAACAAATTAGCCGGGCGTGGTGGCAGGTGCCTGTAATCTCAGCTTCTGCAGAGACTGAGGAGGAGACTCGCTTGAACCCGGGAGGCAGAGGTCGCAGTGAGCCGAGATTGCGCCACTGCACTCCAGCCTGAGCAACGAGCAAAACTGGGGAAAAAACAAAACAAAAAACTAATAGGAATACCTTTTTGCCCAATTATAAGATCCCTTAACAAGGGGCTTTCAGGCACATCCCCAGCAGACTGAAATCTTACAATGGCCCCGTCTACCCATTTTATTCATGGGGAAACCGAGGGTTCCAAACGGGCTTGCTCACGGAAAAAGTGAGCCAGTGAGTGGAAGATCTGGCACTCAGACATGCCAGTTGTTCAGCCCAAAATGTCCAGCTCCAGGCTCTCGTTTAAACCCCTGATTGAATCCCCTGCTGATGGGGAGCTGCAGCTTCATCTCCCTCACCTCTGTACCCCATGGTGTGGGCAGATACAAGAGGACGCAAATATTCACTCCCTGAGACCAGCCCGCTGCTCTTCCTCTCCCTGGGGACGATTTGGTGGTGGAATTGGGCGGATTATTCAGAGACAGCTATTATCTGACTCGGGTCTTGGGCTGCCACCAACACATCAGAGGCTCGCTGGGTCCAGGGAAGAAATTGTTTCTGCAGAAGTGGCCACAGAAGGCTTTTCTGCCCGTTTGTTGACCAAGCAAATTGTAAAGACTTTGCTAACTTCGGCGGAGTTGAGTTTTCACTCTGCCATAGCCACCGCTGTTCAAAGAAACTCCCATTGTTCATGCCAGCCACCGTACAAATCATTATGCAAGAATGAGCAGCCGGCAGCCTTGACGTAAATATTGACCTGATTCTTCCTCCTCCTCTAGATCTGCGAGTAAAGAGGGACGAGGGAAAAGAAACAAAGCCACAGACGCAACTTCAGACTCCTGCATCCCAAAAGAAGCACCAAATCAGCCAAAACAGAAGATGGGTCCCCCGAGCCTCGTGCTGTGCTTGCTGTCCGCAACGGTGTTCTCCCTGCTGGGTGGAAGCTCGGCCTTCCTGTCGCACCACCGCCTGAAAGGCAGGTTTCAGAGGGACCGCAGGAACATCCGCCCCAATATCATCCTGGTGCTGACGGACGACCAGGACGTGGAGCTGGGTAAGCCTCAGGGCCCCAGGGTGGCACCTCGGCCTCTTGGCACAGGGTCCCTGGGTTAGGCTGAGGCTCCTGAGGCGAGGCGGTGGTGTTGATTCGTAGTGGTCATTTTTGAGTTTGTTGAAACCAAGACATGGCACCCACACGTGTTTGGGGTCACAACTGGGTCCTCAAGGTTAGGGGTCTCTACCCTCCTCCAGTTGCAGAACCATTCCTGGATTTCTCCAAAGAGTTAAAGAGAACAGGCTGGGCGCGGTGGCTCACGCCTGTAATCCCAGCACTTTGGGAGGCCGAGGCAGGTGGATCACCGGAAGTCAGGAGTTTGAGACCAGCCTGGCCAACGTGGTGAAACCCCATCTTTACTAAAACTACAGAAATGAGCCAGGCATGGTGGCACACACCTGTAACCCCGGCTACTGAGGAGACTGAGGCACAAGAATCTCTAGCATCCGGGAGAAAGAGGTTGTGGTGAGTGGAGATCACGCCACTACACTCCAGCCTGGGTGACAGTGTGAGACTCTGTCTCAAAAAAAAAAAAAAAAAAAAAAAATGATGAGACATGAGCCTGGAACCAGATTTTGGAGGCTCTTGTGGGTTGTGGCAAAGACTGCCAATCATTGATCCCATGAAAGGTGGTCCCTCGGCCTCCATCCACTCTCAAAGGATAACAGCACGTTGTTGGTGGCAACAAATGTAAAGGCTGACTGGGTTAGCCTTGACAACCTGAATTTGTCTTTTAGCTACCAGCAAAAGGTAATTTACATAAAACCAAGTTGTTCCTTGCAATGCTTTGTATTAATGATGACAAGTATAGATTTTTTCCTCCGGGAGCTTCTCAGTGCAAGAAGAATTCGTAGCCAGGAAGCAGTCAGAGCCCAGAGCTTTTATTGACCATATGACACATAGGATACCTAGCTCCCGGCAGCATTTAGAATGAGGTGCATTTGATAACTACGGGGAGTCTGCACACTGTGGCCAGAAAGGTGTGTTTTGTTTCTTGCAGAATTTTGCAGAGAGGTCTGGCAGGCAGCACCTGGACCTCAGAGCTTCTTGATCTGACATTGCGTAGCCCCCACACTGTTTCGGTTGTAGTCATGCCTAGAATTTCCGATGCCCTGCACGTTCGTTCATTCATCCAGCAGATGTTTATTACGCATTTGTTCCATTCAGTGCACTGTGTCAGGAGCCAGAGAACTGGGGGAGGCTCATTCCAGGTGGGGAGAACAGGAAATTCAAAGATACTGAGATAGAAATGAGCTCGGTGGTTTGGAGCCAAAAAACAAAAAGTGCCAGGGAGCCGGAGTGGAGGGAGTGGGGCCGTGATGGAGAGAGATGAGGCTGAGGAGCCGACTTGGCCCGGGTCACATCAGGCCTTGTGGCCATGGTGGAGGCTTTGAGTTTGATTCTTAGTAAAATAGACATGAATGAGGGGGCCTTAAGAAGAGGAAGGCCGTGACCTCACTTAGGTTCCAACAGGATCCCCCCCAGCTCTTTTGAGGAAATTAAATTGCAGGGGTAAGGGCAGAAACAGGACACCCATTCAGAGGCCAATGTCGTGATAGGGCAGTGATGATGGAAGCTCAGACCTGGGCATGGAGACGCGGTCCCACCTGATGTATGTTTGGGAAATAAACTGATCAATGGGTTAGGTATGCGGGTTAAGGAAAAGAAACATTTCAGGGGCAACTCCTAGTTTGGGGCCGAATCAACAGGTGAGTGACTGAATACCCACTGTTAGGAACAACACATTTTTGCAACATGATCCAGCTAAGTCTCATGTCTGAATCTCACTGAATTTTGCCTGTGACTTGTGAATAAAACCAACAGTGTATCCAGATAAAAAGAAACCAACTGCATATGCAGATATAAGGAAACCAACAGTGTATGCACATACAAGGAAAGGAGCCACGGGTATGAAGTAGACACAGGAGAGAGGAGAACAAAGAAAGCCGTGGCTGACTTAAAATACAGAGATTTCATCTCTCCATTTGACAGATGGAAAAACTGAGGCAGAGAGAAGACCCTTGTCCAAGTTTGCACAGCTGGAATGTGATTAAACATGATTTGAGCTGGGTGCAGTGGCTCACATCCCAGCACTTTGCGAGCCTGAGGAGGTAGGATCACTTGAGGCCAGGAGTTTGAGACCAGCCTGGGCAACATAGTAAGACCCCGTCTTAACAAAAAATATAAAAATCAGCCAAGGATGATGGCACACACCTGTAGTAGCAGCTACTGGGAGGCTGAGGTGGAGGGATCACTTGAGCTCAAGAGGTCAAGGCTGCAGTGAGCCTAGGTCACACCACTTCTCTAGCCTGGGCAATAGAACAAAACCCCATCTCAGAAAAAAAGAGAAAAACAAGATTTGAACCCAGAACACGTGATCTTAGCCACTGCTCTGTTTAGTCAGATTCCTGGGGTGGATATTGAGTTGTTTTCAGATTGGTAGTGTGTGCATTTGTTAGTTTTTCACTGTTACAGATATTGTTGCTGGACATTTTAACAGGCATCTTTGCGCAGGCAAGGGAGTGCTTCTGAAGGATAAATTCCAGGAGGTGGATGCCGTGGGTTTAGAGCCCCTGGTGTTCAGTGGCCTCTGTCAGCTCTTGCCCAATGGCATTACACAGCATAGATCAGGGCCTACAAGTCTTGCCCTCTGCAAACAAGCCAGACCTCTTCTCCCAGCAGCACTGGGTTTCGAAGGAGACTGAGCCTCCTTCAGGAGGTGAGGGATGGGAAGGTGGTTGTGGGAGGAGCATGATAGGCTTTTTATAAACCACTAGACAGACCCAGATCAATAATGCATGTCCCAAAAAAGCCCAGTACATTATCTCACAGTCTGTTACAACTGGCATGCAGCGGGTGGTCCTAAAAAATTTATCATTTGCTATTTTCTGCTCATCCATGCAGCAGTTCTGACAGCCCTCTGGACTGGAGACTTCTCAACTGAGATAATCCCAGGATTCTTTCCAGTCCCAGGACAGAGAACAGACGTCCATCCTCATTAGGGTCTGGTTGGGAGGACTGGTGCCAGATACACAAGATGAGGGACTTGTTCTGTTTCCTAATTGCAAGGCTGGGGGGTCGGAACTGTACCACGTATATTCGATTTTCCTTTCCCTGCACGCATTTGACTCCCTGAGCTGTCTTTTGAAATTGTCAAATGCCCAGGGGAACTGCTTTCAGGGCCATACTAGTTTGTAAGTGGCCTAAATTATCATTACATGTTCAAAGTAGTTGGGGACATCCCTGTGTCTCGGTGACCCTCAGAGACCAGCGGACTTCTGCTGGCCTTTCACTCCAAAAGAATAAGAGGGAAGCACGTGGAGGTGAAGGTCTCGTTTGCAGACGTCCTTTGTTCAGGGAGGCTGTAGAATCTGTGGGCTCTGCCAGGGTTTACTGGTTTAATTTGATCTAAACCTCTGGGGAGCCTCTGGGGCTCTGACAGGCTCTGAGACACCAAGAGGATTAAGACATGATTCTGGCCTGGAGCAAGAGAATTTTTGCAGCATCCCAGTTCTGATGTATGACTTGAGAATTTCTTTAACTGGACTTATTTTTGACGCTTAAATATTATTTTAAAAGAAACCTCCAAATTCTGACTGTAAAGGAAAAACACAATACACATTGCGTTCGGTAAAGGATCACTGCAAAACCAAACACAGTGAAAACCAAGTAGTGTTTTTAAATGTCAGTAAGATGCTGCCTCCCACGAAGCCGGTGTGGCTGTGCTGTAATGAGGGCGATGGGCAGTTTCAGAAGCAGCGTTAAAGGTGAAGTAGCACCTGCCAGACTTCCTTCTTGACCTGATCAGCAGGATAGAGACTAGAATAGAGAAGAACTTTCTCAAGCTTTTGATGTGAGAGCCCCACTTACATGGGCACCACTTAGTGGTGGCTCTTGTGTCAGAGGGTTAAGGATACAGCCAGACTCCAAACCCCAGAATATCGGGGTGGATTCCCTAGTGCTCATCTTCCTGAGTGTTCACACCAGGCAGAGATGGTTGCCTTTTAGGGGCCCCTCAGATGGTCAGATTTGAAGTGTGCCCCGCGAGACTACATGCAGTGTTTGCATTTCTTTTTTTTTTTTCTTTTTGAGACAGAGTCTCACTCTGTCACCCAGGCTGGAGTACAGTGGCGCGATCTCGACTCACTGCAACCTCCACCTCCTGGGTTCATGTGATTCTCCTGCCTCAGCCTCCCAAGTAGCTAGAATTACAGGTGCCTGCTACCATGCCCAGCTAATTTTTGTATTTTTAGTAGAGACGGGGTTTTGCCATGTTGGCCAGGTTGGCCTCGAACTCCTGACATCAGGCAATCCGCCGCCTTGGCCTCCCAAAATGCTGGGATCACAGGCGTGAGCTACCATGCCTGGCCTGATGTTTGCATTTCAAAAGAATTCTTTGCCTTTCAGAACATCTTTGTTTGTTTGTTTGTTTGTTTGTTTAGTTTGTTTGTTTTTTGTTGTTGTTGAGACAGAGTCTCGCTCTGTTGCCCAGGCTGGAGTGCAGTGGCTGGATCTCAGCTCACTGCAAGCTCCGCCTCCTGGGTTTACGCCATTCTCCTGCCTCAGCCTCCCGAGTAGCTGGGACTACAGGCGCCCACCACCTCGCCTGGCTAGTTTTTTGTATTTTTTTAGTAGAGACAGGGTTTCACTGTGTTAGCCAGGATGGTCTCGATCTCCTGACCTCGTGATCCGCCCATCTCGGCCTCCCAAAGTGCTGGGATTACAGGCTTGAGCCACCATGCCCAGCCTGTTTATATTTTTTGAGACAAGGTTTCGCTCTGTCACCCAGGCTGGAATGCAGTGGCGTGATCACTGCTTACTGCAGCCTCAACCTCCCAAGCTTAAGCAGTCCTCTTACCTCAGCCCCCGAAGTAGCTGGGACTACAGGTGCACACCATCACATCACACCCAGCTAATTTTGGGAGTTTTTTTGGTTTTTTTTTTTTTCTCTCTTTTTTTTTAGAGATGGGCTTTTGCCATGTTGCTCAGGCTGGTTGCAA